CACTCTTTCAACCGATGCACACATCCCCCCGGCAAAGACGTCTGCTGTAATTGCTATTTAGCAGCTTTAAGGTAGGACGAGGGTCGCACTGCAAAGATAGGCTTTACAAAGTAATGGCAACAGATGGGGTCTAGACAGCTTGAATGAGAATCCACATGGACAGAATTTTCTCACACGTGGACACAGCCAGCACAAAAATCTACGCATCATTTAAATTCCTCTTGAACCTTTAAAATTAGGGAGTAAATGGTTTACAGGCCTTTGGCTGCCCCAGCTTCATCCTCTTTAAACGCTTCAGCCAAAAAGAAAATGGCAATAAATGAAGGCCTTACAGACCATGTCGTCCCTTTATGGTAGTGGCAAGAACTAGGCAGATCATGTAATATATTTTCTTTAAAACAACAGAGGAAGTTGTACTGAGTTTTCCAGAAGGATTTGAAATGAAAGCTCAGTGTAATACTGTAGGATCAGTGTGGCAGCTTGGGAGATTCAGGAGTCCGATTATAACATGGAGCATTTTAGTTTTAGGTTACCATTTCACATTCAGACCAGTTTCCAAGTTTCCATGAAAAGTTTCTATCTATCTGCTGCTATGCAAGTCTGTATCTTCTGTCCTGGTTACACAAAGCAACGTGCCGATCTGGGAAAGTTGGAAACTGGATCATCTCCTTGGTGCGGAAAGCAGTACCTTCTGAGCTATGTTAGATCTGGCTCCACACACAGTTGGATCAAGAGGCCTTACAGGATCATCAGTTGGGCGTGTCTCATAGCAAGGACAGAGGAGGACATATATGCCTAAATGAGGACTTCAGTGGGTTTAGAGTGATCAAACCGTGTTCCAGAAAACCTACGCATTGTCTTACTCTGAATGTGTCTGACTTCACAGGCATTCTATCCAGACCTGTGCTCTGATATATTAAAAAAAATCCCTCATCCTGGGCAAAATTGAGCAGGTCGGCACAAGCCTGTCCAAGTACTCCTTCATCTGAGGGGATGGATCCAGTAAGTATGTACTGCTTAACCTGCAGCATCAGCCACTTCACAAACCACAGTGGCAGCTACTGCTTTCTTAGGAGCACCAGAGGATGAGCAAGATATATGTGAGATGCTTTATTCAACAACTCCTTAAAGTACTGACGCAGTCTCAGAAATCCCAGCCTCCTCTCTTTCCTTTCCTCTCTCCCTTCCTCCCAGCAACTACCTTGTGAGGCTGAAAAGCCAGGTTTCCTCACACACTTGCTTCAGAAACCATTCAATTCTTTGCTGCACTGTGGCACAGTTTGTAGCAGTGGAGCAGGCAGGCACATTAGGAGTCGTGACAACTTCTTCATGAACGACTGCAGAGCAGTTCATTTCTTCAATTCTGGGGGCTCTGAGCACTACTCCAACATAAACATTGAAAAACGAAAGAGAAGATCATCACCTAAGTAAAAAGGAGATAAATCTGCTGCTCACTAGCCCAACATAACACAATGCTACCAGCTGGCTTGTGCGTGTCTTATTCAACTGGCTGCTGTGCCTTGCACAGACTCAGGCTAACGAACACGGTAAATAAGAGCAAGCCCTCACTGACTGGCAACTACCACATTCCCTTACCTCGTTTCTGTGTACTCAGATGCTTTCAAAAGCAGGTTTTTATTTTCCAAAGCAAACAACATGTGTAAGCCATGGTTTAGGTTCTGTAATTCTCATAACCAGGCTGGAAGACACTTCAGCTTCAAACTATTCCTTCAGCTCTGAAAATTCAACTTCAAGGACGAACATCCGTGATGCTCATTTTGTAGCTGTGCCTCTCACACATGTGGCCTGACATCCATGTTCCTGAGGGAAAGCCGTACGTGACTGTTAGAAACCAAAAGAATTAAAATTAAAAGAATTAAATTTAATTAAATTAAAAGAATTTCAGTGTCCAGAAGTCTCTCACAGGCAAACCTGTAACACCTACACAGAAAAGACAGGCAGGTAAGGATTCCAGGCATGATCTGATGATTTACTAGCATCTAGCAATCAGGCTACTAGATTGTACTAAATCGTATTTCATCAAGAGAGAGAGCTCCACGTAAAAAAGGAGCACAGCAATGAAAACTGTCATTTACGGTCTCATGTATACTTACTTTGGCTCCACTGAGATTAAGTGTTCTGCATGAATCATAGTGGTGCACTGGTAGTTTGGCCAACGCTCAGATAGTACATCAGGGAAGAGAATTGCATATAATAACGTAACATCCTGTTTGGAGGCTTAAGAGGCAAAAATCTAGCCGTAATCACTTCCAAGGCTAGTAACTCAGTTCTTATTGCCTTCATAATGACTCCACAGTTATTCAGTCAATGCAAATAGAGTCTGATATTGAGCATGAAGAAGATAAATTAACAATAAAATGAGTCTCACTCATACATCCACTGCTTACTTTAGTGGAGACCTGCAAAGATACAGTATGCACTTTTAAAGTATGTTGCCCCCCGCTTTAAGGTGCCGAGATGGCTGAAAGGGAGGCTGAAACAAAGACTTTCTTTACTAAATACTGGGTTGCTTTCCAGAAAACAAACAAAAAAAAAGCTGTTAAAATTTAATAAACAAATTTTCTGTTGGAATTAATAAATAGTTCATGTTATAAAGGCCTTCTGGTTTACCCATCATTTTGGCTAACAATGAAAACACAACAAAATTCTTTTAGGGGCTTCAGATTTGACATTAACACCATGCATGAAGTGCCAAATACCAGGATGTTGGCCTTACTAATTTTGGTATAAGACCCAATATTCCAGACAAACCTACTATATTCTAATTAATTAAACAAACAAACAAAAAGCCCCAAGCAACCAATCAAAAAAACAAAATGACTCAAGAATTGACATAAACCATACCAGGCAAACTCAAGCAAATTTAATCTTATTTGATATAAGCTTCCTTCCTTCTACCCTGCCTCTCTCCCCAGCTCCAGGCAGTTCTCTTCTGTGTCTCAAGTCATGCTGGAAATAACCTAGAGAATAAACTCTTGGCTGGGGACCCCAAATGTCTTATGGTCAATGGATATATCCCCTGAAGATTTGTCTTACATCTAAAATGGAATGCCAAGGACTTTACAACTATGGCAGTCAAAAAATCCATCCATAATAAACCAGGGGGTTATCATTCATGGCTTAGAAACCAAAATACTGAGCTTGTTCTTTAAAATACATCTTGTTAAAGCCGGTTATAAGACAATAAACAAAGGCTAATGAACAGAAGGCTCACTGTGTCATGTCTAAAATTAGACTGCATGACATTTGCATTGTCACGGGTTTGTGGAATACTCAAAGGCTATTGTATTATCATTTTAAGCATCATATGTATCTTTATCAATTTGATAATTACAGCTAGTTCAGTATATTGCTAGTTCATTGGGTAAGTGACAGGATAATTTCGTACAGGAACAAACGATGCAGTCGGTATAAAGAGATGTAATTAGTACAAATTGCAACACTGAAAAAAAAAATGCAAACAGCTAGTCCTCTGAAGTTCCTGAAAGAAACAGCACAAACAGAAAGGTCGGCAATTACCTCTGTATGTCACTGCCCTCCTGACAAGAGGTACTCCAATCCTGAAACCAACTCACTCAGTTGGTTATCGTATCCTCACCTGTACAGCCAAAAGCAGCCTCGCTGGCAATGCGCTGTGAGACACAGGAAAGTGCCAGCACAGGAAAAGCGATGGGAACATGGAGCTGGGAACGGGAGGAGGGGGTGGGTGAAGTCACGATTTAGATCATCTGAAACTGCCATGGAATCACACCTTAAACCGCTTAAAATAAGCAGGGTCATTTTGAGAGAAATGAGTTAAGGAATGATCACACAAATAGCAATCCAGGCAGGCTTGAGAAAATTGCATCCCCCAGCTGGAACAGTGATGAGGAGGCAGGACAGGCTGAGGAAGACAGAAAGCTTCAGCTGAGCTAGATCTGGCTAGATGCAGTTCCCACCATGCCTGACATACCACTGGTCTCACATGCCTTATACCACTTGAAACTGCATAAAGCAGAGTGAGTCCAACCAGGTGGAGACTTAATTAAGAAACTCCAGGTTAAAGTCTGAAGAAATCCAGCCAAGTAACAGAGAGGAGAGAGAAAAATAGTGGAACAATTGCCCTTGTATCACTGGATGAAACCATAAACTGAAACTGAGCAGGCAATCTAACAAAAAATTAAAACAAAGATACAGGATCAAAAAAAAAAAAAAATCATTGGTGGAGCTTTGAGACTTTGGCTTTACGCCACCAAAATACATGCATTTCTTGAACCATCTGGGTAGTTCGTCTGATTTCAATCAACTAAGCATTTGTAGAATGTGTGGTTTGATCCATATGCAGCAATATTTCACTAAGTTGGGAAGTGACAAATCATAATACAGGTCTGGTGCAACTCCTTCAGAAATTCATTTCTGAGCTCCCGTTACCATAATGGTGCTAATACACTGGAAGTAGCTCAGATGAAGAGAAACAGAGAGTTGGTTGCTGTCTTAAGTAATGATTTAGAAGATCTAGAAGTATCTGAAGCGTGCATGCACTCGTAACGGAGAACTCATGGGATATATGATGCTAAACTCAAGAAGAGCGAAGTGCGGATTAGGAAAGAGATCATTTATGAAAGCTTTCTGAACAACGGGATATTTTAGACCATGGAATAGTCTCACAAGAAACAAGTGGAGCTGCAAGGCGTGGCAACTACTGAGGACAAAATAATATACTGGTATAAGGGAAGGCTCTATGAAATAACAGACGCATACACATCCGTTTCTGCACTTCATGAAAGGAAAGTTCAAATGAGAGCAGGACAGCTGCTAAACAAACATTAAATATGACAGGAACAAGCCCCTACCACAGTAGTTCTCACTTTCTATGTGACCTCTAATATTGTAATGGCCTCACCCATTCAGTTCTGTTTCATGCATGCCTCCTTGTCCTCACGTCACTTTTCTCTTACAATTATAACCTCTACTACAAAATGGGAAATATATTTGCAGTTTTCCTCAAGTACAATTGATTACAGCATACCTTGAAATGCCAGAAAATTGGCTTTCCTTTCAGACCATCCACATTTTTACACAAAAGCACTTCCAGCACTGGTTTCTGCTGCCACAGCTGTTTTGTAGCCAGAAGAATGGGCTTTTTTTTTTTTTAAGTGTCAATAATAAAAAGTAACAAAAGCATGACACATCCCAAAAGCGCTTGGAGCTACGCCTAACACAGGGCTATGGAGGGGAGTGCAATCTTTTCCCCTAGTCCTGTCAATCACTGTGTTACACCATTAAAGGATCAGCTGGTTGAAGTAAGCTTTTCTGATTATCGCCACCCTTAATGCTGGTGGGGGGGATGAGCACCAACGATGCAGAGCGCTTTGTCCTTGAAAGATTTCTTTATGAGGTGTTCCAACTTTGCCTTTAAGAGACACGTCTGTAAATTTCTTTCAACCAAAATTTCACCATGTATTTTCAGCCTACCTCCACTGGAACTAAAAAAACCCAACAAACCCACAAAAAAACAGAACCGGCCAACCAAACAAAACCCCAAATCAAGCTGTTTTGGCACGAAAACCTCTTCAGCGGCACACGGATTAAAAAAAGAAGATTGCACCTGCGAAACGCAACACCGCTCGCTATATGACGGCGGCTCACCCTGCGAGTCCCATTACCGCTGGCAACCGAGGTGACTTTGGGGAAAAACCTTCCGGGGAAGCGCGGTGCCCCCTGCCCCGGCCCGGCTCCCCGCGCGCCGCGGCCAACGCCGAGCG